AAAAACAAAACAAAAGACAAAATAAAACAGAATAAAGCAAAGACGAGGACACAAACAAACTCGCACAGAGACAGGGATATCCCTAGAGACAGTCTGAACGCGACAGCAAACGGGGGAGAGGGCAACAGAAAAATTAGTCGTTGAAATTCGACCGCAACATGTCACGTCACGCGGTCGGTCTCTTCTCGCTTGCTTTCTTCCCGCCGCGCCGTTTCCTTCCGCCCCCCTACCGCCCCGTTGTGTAGGAAGATATAGGTCCATCNTGTAGGAAGATATAGCTCCATCGGGGTATCTTGTCACTGGGAGAGTGAGAAGAAAAGCACCGTCGGAGATTTGTCTCTTCCGAAGTCCATGGCCACTTGCCGAAAGGAGAAGCGGAGAGTCTTCGACTCTCCTCTCCCCTCTGCTCTCTCTGGCCACTCTCTCTCTTGCTACCCTCTTCTCCTCGTTTACATATCACGAGAGGAAATAGCCTTCCCCTGGCAGTGGGATAATACTGCCAAGGCACCGGCCTCTGTCTCCGACAGTAGCTAGGGTCCATATACCTATCATAACAGATACATACGTAGATTCGGATCACGACCGATCAATCTGGATCAGAAATGACAGCAGCAGTGTTTTTTTCCCAGAGTTGTTGTTTGTTGTTGTTGTTGTCTTCACATTAAAAACCATCCCGGTCTCTCTATCCAGTACCTCCTTCTGTCTACTTCCAGGAAAAGTAGTACTTCGAAGTATCACTTTTCAGCCTTCATTTTATTTTGCTTGTTGTCCCCGGGTACGCGGCTATTTACTACTAGTACTTCATACTTCAAACAAACAACACACTACTCTAGACTAAATATAGTCTATCCTTAAAGTTTCCAGATCCAATCTACCGCCTACCGGTACTGTAAGATTCAGACGCAACATACAACAACCGGAGGGTACATACAGCACCCTGAACATGTGTGATGACCCGGTGCCGCATCCGCGTACGTACCTACTTGCATGTAGTAGAAGACGAATCGTAACCTAGCCGTACCATATGATGATCGACCGTGAGGGATTGACTTCGATCAATTGGTTTGAGTCCACCGCCAAGAAGTAAGTGTAGATTGCCCGACTACATAACTCTACGATAGTTACAGTTCCAACGGCTAGGTTGGAAAGCACGACGATATCTATTATTCATTCCTATCCCCCCCC